GAGGTCTCTTAGGCCGTCTTGGGGCCTCCTTAAATTGTCTTGGGGCCCCCTCGGGCTATGTCGAGAGCCTCTTGGGCCGTCTTGGGGCCCTCTTGGGGTTCCCTTTTGGCTGTCTGGAGGCCTTTTCGGAGGGCTCTTGGGCCGTCTTGGGCGGACATGACGCCCGAAAGGGTGAGAACGTGAACACCTACCCGCAAGCGAGCGAACATCAATGATTTGGCCTCCTTGGCCCTGCTGGGGGTCCCCTTGGAGCCGTCTTGGGGGACTCTTGGAAGACCTGGGCTAGGAGGAGGACGAGGAGGACGAGGAGGACGGGGAGGGGGCCGCACCATGGCCATAGCAGCAGGTGCTCAAATCGCGAGTGCGGGCCTGAACATTTGCAGCTGGATGTAAAAATGACGTCTCGCTCATCATGGGGAGCGGGAGAGCAGGCATGACGGCATCACCGGCAGTGTTATGCATGCTTATCTATCCACGTATTTGTCGGGGAGGGGGAGGCGAGACGGAGGACGAGGGCGCGGAGGGCGGGGAGAGGCCAAGCCTCGGTGCTGGTGCCCCCCCCCCAAGGAGCTGAAGACGCTCGCGCTCGCGAGGCGGCGGTCCCAGACGGGCCTCGACGACGAGGGCGCCTCCCACTGGGACAGGGACTGAGGGGCCAGCGAACCCCCCATCCTCGTCCTCGTCCTCCCCATCTTCCTCCTCCTCCTCCTCCTCCTCCTCCTCCTCCTTCCCGTCCTCCCCCTCCTTCTCCCTCCCCCTCCTCCCTCCCTCCTCCTTACCCCTCTTCCCCTCTTCCTCCTTCCCCTGCCTCCTGTCTCCTTCTCGTCCGCCTTCCCTTCTGTGCTCCTCTCGTGGCCCTCCTCACCCCCCTCCCCAGCTGCTCTTGTTCCCTCTTCCTCTCTTCCCCCTCCTCCGCTCTCTCCTCCTGCCTCGCCCCCCGCCCTTGCCCCCCTCTGGGCGAGGCCGCAGGTGCCCGCCTCGGGAGCCGCCGCTGGGCCCCCCCCCCCTGGCGCCGCGAAGGCCGCTGGGCGGCGGCGCGGGCCGCGCTGCCCACCCGCTCGGCCTGGCGTGCCGAGCTGCGGCAGCGCGCCCGCCGAGGCTGGCGCAGCGCCAGGGCCAGGGACCGGCCGCGCTCGCAGTGCGCCGCGGGCCCCGCGTGGCCCCGCGCCGCGCCCAGCGCAGCGCCGGTGCCGGGGCCGGCCGCAGCTGCAGCGCACGGCGGGCCCGCGGGCCCGCGGGCCCCGCGGGCGCCGCCCGCGCGCTGCGCGGCCCAGCGGCAGGAGGGGGGGGAGGCTGCCCTCGCGCGGGGGGCGGCACGCCGCGCCCTGGCCCTCCCGTCCCAGGCCCAGGCCCCGAGCGGCCGCCTGGGCCCGACGCGTCCTCTCGGGCCAAGCGGCCCTGTGCCCGCCCGTCTGCCTCTCCCCCAGGGGGCGCGCAGCGTCTGAGCTCGGCCAGGCTGGGCTCGGCCGGGCGGAGCTCGGCCGGCCGAGTGTTTCCCTTGTCGGCGGCAGGGCAGCGGCCGTCGACGACCGCCAGCGGCATGCCCTGCAGCAGCTGAGGCCGATGGTGCGTCATCGAGAGCCACCTTCACCCGCGAGCTCCCCGCCATCACGACCATCCCTGCTGGACGGAGCTGCTCTGCCTCGAGCTCCCTCTGCGCTCGCGTCGGCCCGCGAGTCCGCGGGCGCCGCGGGCGCCGCGCCCGCCCGGTCGGGACGGCCGCGCGGCTCGCGGCCGCGGGCCTCGCCGCTCCCCCCCCCCCCTGGCGGGAGGCCGCCGCCTCCCGTCTGGGGCAGGCGGCGCCCGGGCGCAGGCGCTGCAGGCCGCGCGTGGAGCTCTCGCGCGGGGCGGAGGCCTTTTGGGGGGGGGGGGGCGCTCGTCGTCCTGGCCCGGGCTCGGGGCCCCGAGCGGTGGGCGCCGGCGCCGACGGCCCGGCGGCGGCAGCCTCCGAGGCGGCAGGGGGCGCGCGCACTTCGGCGCCCCGCGCGGCGGGCCCAGCGCTGCCGCGCCTGCCCCCCAGGCGGCGCTGGGGCTGGTGCCCAGGCTCACGGCCTATAAAGCGCTGTGCTCCCCCCTCGGGTCTGGCTCTCGTCTCCGCCGCCGCCCGTTCCCTGCCCGCGTCTCCTCTCCAGGGAGGGTCCCCCGCGGAGGCCGGCAGGGGGGGGCCGCGCGAGAGCCACGGCGATCTTTTGGCCTGGGCTCCGATTGGCCCGTCGAGGTCGGAGGCCAGAGATCAGAGATCGGATAGATGTCCCCTTTCACAGAGTCTCAAAGACACCCTTCTCCTCCTCTCCATCGTACGAATACAGCTCTCCTCTCTCCCCAGATGTTTTTGCAATCCGATTGTTTCCGCTGTTTCGTAATGGTGCTCGCGCTGCAGCGTGGGCCTCATCTTCGGATCGTCGCTGTGCTCCCGTCTTTCAGACTGGCGCTCTCGCCCAGCGCGCGCCTCTTGTCTGGATCCGAGTCCCCTTTCATCGTTGTCGCCCCGCTCATTTCC